GAGCCACATCTGCTTTTCTTAACTTACCATGAATACTTTTGAAATTCACTTATATTGCTGTGTGTTACAATAGTTTGCTTCTTTTAACCATTTAATTATTCATTTGCCAGTTGACAGACATTTGGGGGACCCTTACAATTTAGGGCTATTCTGAATAAACCTACTTTTGCACAAGTTGATTCCCAAGTATACTATTTTGCCGCTCCACTAGCAATCTCTAAGACTTCTAGTTGTCACATAGCTTTCTCAATACTTGGTATTTTCAGTCTTTTTAATTTTAGCCATTCCAGTGGGTGTGTAATGATCTTTGATTGTGGTTTAAGTTTGCACAGCTGGGTGCTGTGGTGGGCGCCTGTAGTTCCAGCTACTTGGGAGGCTGAGGCAAGAGAATCACTTAAGCCCAAGAGTTGGAGGTTGCTGTGAGGCACTCTACTGAGGACGATGTAGTGAGACTCTGTTTCAAAAAAAAAAAAAAAAGTTTGCAACACCTCAATGACTAATGATGCTGAGTTTAAGTGCTTATTTGCCATTCAAATATAGCATCTTCTTGGTGAAATGTCCATTAAAATCTTTTGCCCATCTTTTATTGCTTGTTTGAGTTCTAACAGTTCACTATACATTCTGGATACAAGTTATCAGATACAAGTTTTGGGAGATACAATGTTCTCTCAGTCTGAGTGGCTTGCCCTTTTTTTATTGATACATGATAGCTATAAATATTTCAGGGTACATGTGATAGTCTAATATATTCATATAATTTATAAAGATCAATCACATGGAATATCCACATTGTAAAGAAATGAAATATGTCTTTTCTTTATGTTAGATACATTCAAATTACTCTTTTAAATACTTTTAAATATAAAATAGATTAGTATAAACCATAGTCACCCAACTGATCTATCCAATATTGCCTATTATTTCTTCTACCAAACTGTATGTTTGTACCCATTAATCAACCTCTCTACATACCCTCCTTCTCTCCACCCTCCCTGGCCTTTGTGTTTGTTTCTATGCCAGTATTGTGCTTATTTAGTAACAATAGCTTTGCAGGACACATGTATTTTGAAGTCAGGTAGCAATGCCTCCAGCTTTGTTCTTTTTGCTCCAGTATGCTTTAGTTATCTCAGGTTTTTGTGGTCCCATATAAATTTTAGGTTTTTTTCTTTTTGCAATTGATTGGATTTTATTTTTTTATTCTGATCATTTAAGTCTTATTTCTAAAAAAAGCTTATTTTCCTATTTTAGGAAACACTGGATCCTAAAATAGGATTTTTTTTCCACTTACGGGAAGAATGTCATTGGTATTTTGATGTAAGTTATCAAATTAAATCTGATAGAAGTTATCAAATTGAATTGTAAATTGCTTTGGGAAGAACTGTCACTTTAAAAAAATTAATTCTTCCAATCCATAAGCATGGATTGTATCTTTTTTATTGTCTTCTTTGATTTCTTTCATCCAAGATTCATAGTTTTCCATATACAGATCTTTTAATTCTACAGTCAGATTGTCCTAGGTATTTTATGTTCCTTGTAGCTATTGTAAACAAGATTAGATTATTGATTTCATTTTCAGATTGTTCACCATTGATGTATATAAATGCTACTAACTTTTGTACACGGATTTTAAGTTCTGCAACTTTACTGAATTTGTTTAGCAGTTTTAACAGTTTTTTTGTGAAGTAGTCTATTTTATCTGATATAAATATTGCTACCCCTGCTCTTTTTCAGTTTCCAGTTGCACAGAGTATCTTTTTCTACCCTTCACTTTCAGTCTTTGTGTGTCTTTATAGGTGAAATGAGTTTCTTTTGGTGAACTTATAGTTGGGTCTACTTTCTCAGTCACTCAATGCCTTTTAATTGGAGAAGTGTCTTCTGTTTTATAACTGCTCTCTTCCTTTCTCCCTTTCTTCCTGTTTTCCTTTGTGGTTAAGTGATTTCTGATAGTACAATTTAATTTATTGCTTTTTATTTTTAGTGAATTTAATATATGTTTTTCCATTGTGGTTACCATGAAGCTTATAAAACACAACTTTTAAATTAAATGTAACAAGTAATTTTAAGGAGAAGACATCTTATCACAGATCATAAAGAATAGAAATAGAGGCTGGGCGCCTGTGGCTCAAGCGGCTAAGGCGCCAGCCACATACACCTAAGGTGGCGGGTTCG